TTGTACAATTTCCCCTGCTATGTCTGAATGACTGAACTATTCAAGTCTATGATATGTCCCAATAAAACTGTTGGGGAAAAAATGTATTCCATCTTCCCATCATTTTTCTTATATTAATATATGTACACAATTTTTATTCCACGGGTTTAGTGTTGCACTTGACTTGAATGTTAACTACCAAAAAGGTCTAAAGATAAGTTTATTAAAAGTTGAGTAAAATCTGAATGTAAGGGATGTATACAGTTCTAAATCTGAGCAAGTCTCCCAAATATCCTAGTGTCAACATTTGTAATTTTATGCAAATTGTGCACAAATGAGACAGAAGAAGAGATACAAAACGTTAAGGTGCCTTTACTAGCATTTTTTATGTGGCACCGAAATCAAAGATGCTATCTGAAAGGAGCTGACACTCAAAGGTCTTTGATGGTAGCTGTGAAGAAGCTTTTTAAAAGAGGGTCTAAAGAAATACTTGGGTGAAGGCTGCTCTGACTCTTGACTCAGTCATAAATTTCTAATGAAGGCAGCTATGTTACACTGCTCAGGGGATTACATAGTGGCATGTTTTTAAAAAAATAGTATTTCCTAATGAGCAAGAAGCAAATGCCAAAGGGCGTTCAAGAACGGAAGTTTCCATTTGAGCAGTCATTGAGGCCCCATCCCACTTACCAACTGCAGTGACAGGGCTGGTAAGAAAATGAATGCCCATCCTGGAGATTCTTCACAAAGAAAAGGTTAAAATAGTACTTATGTAATTCAATTGAGTGAGGCAGGGAAGGCGATTTTTTTGTTAAGGGGAAAAAACCAAACCCACTTTGACCCCTGTAAGGTTTCTGCGTCTGTGAATCCTTACAGGAGCAAATAGCCTCACCTTTTCCCCCAGAGGAGCAGCTGGTGGGTTTGAATTACCACCCTTGCTTGTTAGCAGCAGTTCAACAGTGGCATTTTAATTTGAGATTTTCATAGGAAAACTCTTAAAATCCAGTAAGCAATTTTAAATTTATTTGGAAAAGTCATTTATGTTCCACATGTTATATAACAGCAGCATAATTGTACATTATTTATCGACCACCTACTATATTCAAACACTGATACACCAGAATTCATGTAAATACTAAAGTGAAATAAATTTGATCCTATAAAGAGTAATTCAGTACCCTATATAAAGAATTCAAAGGGGTTGGTGGATTCAGAAAAAATTATTCTAGAATTTAGCCTTGGGGATTTCCCTACCAGGATCAAGATTCCAAATTTTACCTGCCATTATGTACCCAAAATTCCTTAAAAGAATTCTTACCATTGTCTGTGAGACTTGAGTTGGAGCCTGTGGAAACATTTAAACTATACAAGTGGAATTTACTGGCGGAAGACCATAGATGAGCTCTTCAGAATGTTAAAAAAATATGAAAAACTGGTTTCTATAAAAAAAAAAATCTTTGTGAACTAAAAACAAAACAAACACCCAAAAAACTCTATTTTAAAAAAGCATTTTCTAGTACATATTTTAAAGTATCTCTTGTAAGGTTCTGGTAGGTATTTCTTTAAAGGAACCTGCTTAAACCAGTTTCCTATAATATTTAACTTACCACAAATCTCTCTCTGAAACAGATTTTGAGGAAACATTAATTTGGGCTACTATTGAAGTGAATATGCATTCCCTAAGCTTGTTAGCTAAAGATAAGGAGAAATATCTAGGAACCTTGTCGCTGAAGAGAGCTAACCCAAACAGAAGAGAGAGCAGGAAAAATTAAGTGTTGGCATTACAGGAACTTCTAAAAGTAGAAAGAAGATAACAGTATCCAAGAAACAACATCCTAGAATACTTAAAATATACTATTACAGCTCTTTTACAGAACAAATTGGGTTAGAGGTAGTTTTCCCAATTTGATATTTTAAAATTATAATGTTTAGTACCCAACATCTAGAAAGTTGTAATTAAAGTTTTAGAAGGAAAAAACCTCTGTAATTCCATTATCTACAGCCAGTTTTGACTTTGTCATTATTTCCTTGCAGGCTTTTTCCTTTGAGAACAATTTATTCTAAAAAGAAAATTTTTAAGTGTTAAAGATTATTAAAAATGAATAATCTACAGTGTTTTACTAAATCGTATTTTAAAATAAAGCATGGTGTTGATGAAGCAGCAGGAACTGCTAGGTCCTCAAACGTGGGCTAAAAGTCAAGGTGTTACTATGATTAGCTATTTTTGACTTTTCATTGTCTTTTAGCCTTAACTACCCCATTGTAAACTCTGGATAATGCCAGCTACCTCATGCTTTTGTTGTCAAAATGGAAATGTATGAAGCCTTCCCTCTTAGTATTAGTCAGACTGTTCGTGTAGAAGCTAGTTTCTAAAAATACGAGGTGGAAGAGTGCTATTATGAGAGGAAACAAAGGCTATATTATTGCTGAACTACAAAAAAATGTGAGGCTAGAAGATCTGTACAAGATTCTAACTTAATAGGTATCAGCATTTCTACAATATCACAAAACACTTTCAATTACTCCCCATAAGGACATGTTCACTGTAAAAAGTTTCAAACTCTTTAATGGGTGTTCACAATCAAACTTTTAGTAACAAAAAATTTGCAGTTTCTTATAAGCTTAAGAAATAGACTGATTAAAACTGTAGGCATAGAGTTTTAAAATTTTTTGAAAAATTGTTTTAAAAAAACAGGTAATACAATGTTTGCTAAGCATGTTCTTTTATTTTTAACAGATTATGAATTATTCTCACCATTACCTTATAACAATTACATATACTAGTTTGTTAGTTTTTCCAACTACAAACTAGTAGAAGGTGACATGACTTAAATAAAATTGCTTTTATGTTCTGGTATGTTTTTAGAAACTAAGTCTTATGGCAATGGCTATGCTTTGGAGAGGCAGCACAGTACACTATCTTGGATTCGAAGGTGAAAGATCTGGGTTCTATTTCTAGCTCTGACATTTAGGAGCTGTGTGACCTTGGATAAATCACAGTCTTTCTGAGCCACGGTGTTTTTTCATTTACAAAACAGTGTTTATATCTGCCTTGCTGCGGTAAAGATCCAGTGCCAATGTAACACAAGAGCTAAACACTGGGGGTCTTTGGTAAGGGAAACTGGGTGGCTGGGGACTGGGTAGGAGGGAGACATCACTTACCCAGAGAAGAAATTAAATAGGTTGGTAGGATCCAGGACTGTCTTAGAGATGGGAAAAATATTCTGACTTCTACGCTGGCTTCTCTATATATCCCAGTACTCTGTTTGTCTCAGCGCTCTGTTCCACCCTTTTCTTTACCAGAACTAATTTTCAGTCTATCAAATACATGTGAGGGGCTTCAAAACGTTCGCGGAAAAAATAAGATGACAAGATAATGGAATTTCCCCCCAGCTTTTTGAAGCTCCCTCATATTCTATTGAAAAGGCATTTTTAAAACTCCTTGTGTAAGACATTACTGATGTAACCCCAGGGTAAACTGACTTTGTAAGACGATATATTATTTATATAGATAGTACTCATCATCATCAGTAGACTAGAAGTGAATCAATGTATCTCACTCTGTTGCCCTTGAAACCAACAGTAGTTGTGCGCTATGCATGGCTATAACTAACCTCCACTGAAATTGAACCTGTGACTTTGGCATCCTTTCAGTGAATTTATTCAGCCATCCACTCTTATGAGTCTGCACTGCTAATGGTGTATAAATCCATTCGGAAAAATTTGAGTCACCTCAGTGACTGCTACGTTGGTTTCTTTTTTTTTAACAAAGTGATGCCATCTAAAACCGGATAATTCTGCTAATATTTATACGTGCATACATTTCATTTTTGCCCTATCATCATGTACATATTTATTCATGTTTCTCACAGCAAGACTATGAGCTCACTAAAGGCATTTGACCGAAACAGTAATGAAATAATGAAAACAAGAGCGAAAATGCATTTTTAAGATTCAAAAAACTGTACCGGGTTACGATTTAAACAAACTCCACTTTAAATGAAACCACTAACTGCGCACCCAAAGTACCTGTTAAATAGCACCAGACACTGACAGCAGGTTCCATACATCCATGACAGGCACTCTAACAATTCAACAAAGGTAATTCTCTCCATCTCGGCATCCGAAAGGCAAAAAAACAGGGGCGCGGGTGGGAGGATAGGGGGGGTAGAATATGCAAGGTCAAATACTGAGTAAGAATGAAATTTCCAACTATTCAACTCAGCAGTTCGAAGCCACCAGTCTCCGGTGGCGACAAAGATGAGGAGTACAGTCTTAAAACAACCCCAAAGGGGCAGTGCTACTTTGCCGATCCACACTCCATGTGAGTCGGAGACGATTCGACGGCAGTGGGTAAGTACTTTCAATACTTCTTGCCCAATGTCCCCGCAGTTTGTCTGGGCAACCTTTCACAAAGGAACCAGGCTGAAACGCAACCTCTGCAGCGGAAAAGCCTCGCACTCCTGTCAGACACTAGACGCAACTGAGATCGGAAGGTGGGTATCCTTTCCCCCAGGAAAAATCTATGATAAGCACTAATTAACGAATACTCTTGCAAAAGTTTTCATCGGAGTTGGGTCTCCCAAGATGGAGAACATTTAAGTCTCAGGAAAAGCATAATTTTTATGGACCAAGTTCAAGAATGCACTAGCTTTACTTTCACATCTTAACACGCCCTGCGGCGGACTTCATTTAGATGGGGTCGAACCGGCGAGACTTGGGCTACTTTCTTGGAAATCTGGATGGGGTCGCCAAGAACACTCATTAACGTCGGAGCTGTAGCTCAGGCGCCGAGCGTAACCTCCTCTATCTTTACAGAGGTGACGAGGTAAGGGCGCGAAGGTGCCAAGATTACAGGCTGGAGAAGAGATGCCCCTTCTTTATAGAAAAATACCCAAAGAACTGCTCAGGACCGGCTGGGTCCGTTCGGGGTCCGGGTTGGGAGTTGCACGAGAAGAGAGGCTGACACGCGCGCAGACCCCGCTCGGCCAAGAACGGGCAGCGGCCACCCTTCCCCCACTCACCTCCCCGAGCGCAGCTTGACTGGAGCTGTCCGAGGAACCGCCGCCATCACCGTCGCCATCGCGCCGAGGGATCGCAGAGGTTGAAGAGGAAGGCTCAGCCACCTGCACCTGGTGCAGGTCCTACGAGGCGGGTGCTTTCCTCCAGCCTCCCCCCCTCGGAGCTCGGTCCCGTCTCAGACGTCGCGGTCACCGCCTCCGCCTGCTCCCCAGGCGCCGCCACCACTTCCGCACTCGGCTCCTTCTCTTCCTCATTTACTCCCCCGTCTCGCGGCTCGCTTCCTCGCAGCCGGCGCGCGGCTGACGCCACCACCCCGCGACCCCGTCCGCGCCTGCGCAGGGCGGGGGCGGGCCGGCGCACGCGCAGTGCGGCCAGCAGCTCTGAGCGCGGGAAGCGGCGAACCGCTGGCGCCGGCGTCGCGCTTGTGCTCAGCTACGGAGGCACGTCTCCTGGGTGAGTTTTCGCTCCTGCTCCCCGGGCAGCCCACCGAACACAAGTGTGCCGCCCCCCTGGCTTATTGTCTGACGGGTCCTCTGCTGCAATCCTGCCTGTGACACTCGGGAGCGGGAAACAGCTGCACAGAGCGTGCCCAGGAGACCCGCCTGGCTTCTTCCCCTTCAGCCCGCACCGCCCCCCCCCCCACGCCGGCTCGCGTGGCTCCCTTTAAAAATACTAAGACTACCTTTCATAAAACATTTCCAGGAGGATAAAAGAAAAGATGCCCGCCATACAGAAGCCAATGAGATATGGACATACAGAAGGACACACAGATGTCAGTTTTGATGATTCTGGGAGGTAAGATACTTTAAGAAACAAAAAGACTGCTTCAGTGTAAGTATTAGAACCCGTATGCTTATTTTTCATGGAGGTACTCAGCCTTCAATGATTCTTGCAGATAGAAAAGTAATGTTGAAATCTTAAAAAATGGCAAATATATTTTCTTTAGATTGATTGACTTCGAATGTCAAAAGTAGTTTTAGTAAATCAAAAAGTTAAGTGTAGAGACATACTTCCAGAGAAGATGTGAGATTCCCTAATGACTGTTCCCCTCCTTATAAACAGTGATAACTTCCCAGGGTTGTCATGGGGCCTTTTACCTGCCTAGATTCTTACTGTGTGAGCAGTTGTGTACCAGATGGTCTTCCTCCTCTGCAGACATATTTATTGAAAAAATATTTGAGTGTCTTCTCCGCTGGGGGCTGGAGATACAAACAAAAGTGGGAACAAGGCACAATCTTCACCAGCCTCCAACAGAAGGTCTTTTTGGACTGACAGACATTGAACATAATTAACCAAACAAATAAACATATACTGGAAATACACTTAGACAGCGAGATGTGCTGCAGTGAGTATATATGAGGGGAACAGATCTAGTTTGAGGAGGGAGGGAAGGCTTCTTGGCCGAAGTGTTTCTTGAGATGAAATCTAAAGATTGAGTAATCAGGAAACGGGCGGCAGTGTATCGGAGGTGTAGTGGCATTCCCAGAAGTGGGCACAGTTTGTGAACTGTGTTGGCAGGGACCATAGTACTGCTATACTCAAATAACTGAAATAGCAACATAGAGGCTGATAGGATTCCGTGATAGGCAATGGGCAGCCTATGTGAGGCCTGCTGACCTTCATTAAGGAGTCTTCTTTTTAATCCTAAAATAAAGCTTATAGGTTTGAAGTAGGAAGGAGATACAATCCGATTCTTGTTGAAAAGATCCATGAAAAGTGAATTATAGAAGGAGCAGGAGTGGATGCAGAGGGACTTTTAGGAGGTGTCGCTGTTAGTCTGGTTGAATGTGGTGGAAGTTTGAACTAAGGTAGAGATGGGTCTAGAGTAAAGATACAATCAGCATCTATTTAAAAGATGAAGTTAACAGGATGGAGCAGATATTGCTGGTGATGAAGAGGGGAGGTATCAGGACAATGGTAGTTGGTGTTAGGTGCCATCCAGTTGACTCCAACCCATAGCAACTCTGCACAACAAGACACATTGCACGGTCTTGTGCCATCCTCACAGTGGTTCTTACGCCTGAGCCCATTGGTGGAGCCACTGTCAAGCCATCTTGTTGAGGGCCTTCCTCTTTTTCGTTACCCTTCCACTTTACCAAACATGATGTCCTTCTCCAGGGACTGGTCTCTCCTGATAATATGTCCAAAGTATATAAGACGAAGTCTTGCTATCCTTGCCTCTAAGAAGTACTCTGGTCATACTTCCTCCAATACAGATTCATTTGTCCTTTTAGCAGTCCATGGTACTTTCAATATTTTTCTCTAGCACCACAGTTCAAATGCATCAGTTATTTTTAGGTCTTCCTTATTCAGTGTCCAACTTTGATCTGCGTATGATGCATATGGAGAATACCATGGCTTGTGTCCGGTCCACCTCAGTCCTCAAAGATCACCCTTTCTCTTAGTGCTCCAGAGAGGTCTTGGGCAGCGGGTTTACTTAATGCAGTACATCTTTTGGTCTCCTGACTTCTGCTTCTCTGCGCACTGATTGTGGATCCAAGCCAGACAAAATCCTTGACAACTTCAACCTTTTCTCCATTTATGATGATGGTACCTGTGGGTCCAGTTATAAGGATTTTGGTCTTCCTTGCATTGAGTTGTAATCCATTCCATAGGCTATAATCCTTGATTTTCATCAGCAAGTGTTTCAATTCCCCCTTTCAGCGAGCAAGGTTGTGTCATCTGCATATCGCATGTTGTTAATACGCCTTCCTCCAATCCTGATGCCAGAGTCTTCTTCATATCATTCAGTTTCTATGATGAGTTGTTCAGCACACACATTGAGCCAATATGGTGAGAGGACACAACACTTACTTACTGATTTATAAACCATGCACAATTGCCTTTTGATCCATGTACAAGTTCCTAGTGGGCACAATGAAGTCTTCTGGAATTCACATTCTACTAAAGGTTATCCATAGTTTATTATGTTCCACACCATCGAATGCCTTTACATGGTCAGTAAAACAAGTAAACATCTTTCTGGTATTCTCTACTTTGAGCCAAGATCCCTCTGACATCAGCAATGATACCCCTTGTTCCACGTCCTCTTGAATCCAGCCTGAACTTCTGAACTTCTGTCCATGTACTGCTGCAACCATTGGGCCATCTGAAGCAAACTTTTACTTGTGTGTGATATTAACAGTATCATTCTATGGTTTGAACACTCTGTTGGTATCATTAGTAGTAGTCTGAGCATTCTGCTGGGTTACTTTTCATTGGAATGGGCACAAATATAGATCTCTTCCAGTCAGTTGGCCAGGTAGCTTTCTAAATATCTTGGCATAGGTAAGTAACTGCTTCCAATGCTTGCTGAAACATTTCAATGGGTATTCTCTTAATTTCTGGAGCCTTGTTTGTGGCTAATGCTTCCTTCAGCCCCATTGGTTCTTGCTCACATGCTATCTCCTGTATGGTGGAATGTTGACTACTTCTTTTTGAGACAGTGACTGAGTATTCCCATCTTCTCTCGATGCTTCCTGCATCGTTGCATGCTTCTGAATGGTACAATTGGGCAGGAACTTACTTTAGAGGTGGAACAAAGGGAAGAGGTTCTGAGTCTATTTGGGCACGGAGAGAACGGGATTTCTTGGGGATATTCAAGTGGAGATGTAAAGAAGACAGAAAATTGCATCTGAGACTTGGAAAATATAAACTAGAGATGGAACTCTTTATTTTTAGCTCAAACTGACTTGATGGCACCTAGCAGCAACAGCTCAAACCTAGTGCCTCCTGGAATTCAGGGTTGGGATCCTGTCTGAGAATCAAAATTTGGGATTCGTTAGTGTGTGTTGTTTAGTGTTATTCAGGCTGTTGAGTTGATTTAAACTCATAGCGACCCTATGCACAACAGAATGAAACACTGCCCAGTCTTGCAACATCCTCACAATTGTTATATTTGCGCCCATTGGTGCAAGCACTGTGTCATTCCATCTCATTGCAGGGCTTCCTCTCTCTCGACTCCCTTCTACGTTACCAAGTTCGATGTCCTTTTCCAGGGACTTGTCTTTCCTGATAGCATGCCCAAAGTATGGGAGGTGAAGTCCTGCCATCCTCACTTCTAAGGAGCATTCTAGCTGTCCTTCCAAGATGATTTGTTTATTGTTCTGGCAGTCAATGGTACTTTCGCTATTTTTCACCAATACCGTAATTCAAATACACCAATTCTTTGGTCTTCCTTATTCATTATCTGGCATTCAGATGCATGTGAGGTGATTGAAAACACCATGGTTTGGGTTAGGCACCCCTCAGTTCTTGAAGTGACAGTTTTGCTTTTTAACCCTTTACAAAGGCCTTGTGCAGCAGATTTGCCCAATGCACACATCCTTTTATTTCTACTGTTCTGTGAGAGTTGATGATGAATCCAAGTCAAATGAAATCCTTGACGACTTCAGGTTTTTCTCTGTTTCATGATCGGTTGTGAGGATTTTTGTTTACTTTTAGTATGAAAGAGGAGGCTAGCTCTCCCTGTAAAGATCTGTAGCCTTGGAAACCCTATATAGGACCACTAGGAGTCATGATGGCAGAGGCTTTACATTGAGGGCAGCAGACTGACAGACCAGGTAGTTGTTGGTATGTAGATGGTGTCTAATGCTTTGTAGATAGGAAAATAATTTCAAGTACTGGAGTTAGGGTACTGATTGTCCGCTGTAGTAGTGAGTATCCCTACCTATCACATGGAAGACTGGAGTCTAATTCCCCAACAGGGAGGCAGGTACCCTTTTTTCAGGAGAAAGATTCTCGCTATGAATCCGAGTCAGTTCAACCACAGTGACTTGGGTAAAGGGTATAAATTAAAAAGAGACTTAGATGATTAAAATTGAGATTATGAAGCAGTTGCATTTAGATAAAGATAGCATTTGGGTTATGACCATGAGAGTGAGTGGCTGAGGTAGGCTGGAAGACTAGGTTATTGGAGTAGAAAAATTCAGCACACTGAGAGAACAGAGTACCTACCAGAGTGTTCATCTATCTGGATATTGAAAATGCCGAGAACTAGAGTAGGAATAGTGTTGTTGGAGAGATTACAATGAGTCAAGTGCTAAAACCTTACAGAACAAAGGCCATTTCTCGTTAAGAATCTGTATATAGTTTAAAGGCAAAATTAGTTTTGTTTTGTGTGTGTGTGTGTGTGTGTGTGTTTTTTAAGAAAAACGAGAGTAGGGTTGGACCATGAAATGGAAGTGGTAATGTAGTGAAAGGAAGAGCCACATCCATACCCAGAATGCTGTGGGAAAGAAACCAGCCACCACTAAGGGTGCTGAAGGGGAAGCAGCATCCTCAGGGGAATGTCCAGAGAAAATGCTGAAGAGGAAGAGATTGTGCTGGGGCCTTACCATAATTCCCAGAAGGCTGGTGAAAAGGTTGTGCGGTGGCGGGCAGTCAGATTAGGGAAGGAACATTGATTGCTCTGTGAGCATGAGAGCCTGTGTGGTAGGAAATGCCTCTGGTAATCATTAGCTTCTCTGTTATGTCATAAACATAAAATGATGATAAAATTAGTCCTCGTGCTCAGAAATGTGCAATGGCTTTTAAAACTTAACCCTCTAAACCCAGGGTATTGCTGTGATAATGGGAAGGGTGGCTTAAAAATAATTAAAATTATTTAATTTCTTGAGCCATTTCTTGACTGGAAAATTGTTTTGATAGATCTATTCATTGAGTCTCTTAAAACAATTTTCAACACATTTTTTCCCTTGAAATATAAGGCTGGTAGTAGAATATCCAAAATTTTCTTTATATTACTTATTTAAACATAATCTAACCATAAGGAGCCCTGGTGGTGTGGTGGTTAT